TGCCTGGCTGCCGGCCGCCATCTTGGCTGACAGTTAATTTGCATATACTCACTGATTAGCCAATGAAAAGGGTAGCGGTCGTACACTAATTACCATGTTTCTCTTTTATTAGTGTAGATACTTTCTTGTACCCTATATAATCAGTTCTTAATGTATCTGAAATTAAACACACACAAAAATGATATTCACAAATGTTGGGAAAGCTTTTCAGGTAATCAGTGTATTAAAGGCTTTAAATTTTCTTTTTAGAATTTTTTTTCTTCAAAACCTGTCTTTTCACACAAGTCAAAGTATGGGAAGGCAAGTGTCTCATGCAGAGAATGTCCCCAACTTCCCATACCCCAATCCCTGATATTCAGGAAAAGAATGCTAGGTGTGAGCAATTTTCACTAAGATATGTTATCATAATAGACAATTAGCTTTACAATCAGTGAGATTAATTCCACAGGGCAAGATGCTTACTTGAGAAGACATCCACATTGGGAAGGAATGCTATTGCAATCCCTTATCACAGGAATTTTTCATGCTAAAATAATCTGGTCTATAACACATATTTTGTACTATAATAAAAACTAAAGTATTTGATGCAAGGAAGGCAAAATGATTTTCTTTTACTTGACAATGCTTCTATATGAAAAAGAAAAACATATATAAAGAATATACTAACTCACAAAATAAGTCCCAGATTTTAAAATTACTAGCCCACTATATTATACAAAGTTCACTCAATCTATGATTTTCTTTTTAAAATTATATATGCTGAGATAATTTCAGATATACTTAATAGAGTCCTATTTTAGAGATAAGAACTAGTGACTTTTCAAAGCATTAGAAGTTTTATTAAATTTTGGACCCTTGATAAACAAATCTCTAAATCTTTTTCATATAAACTAATGTCAAACCAAAATTCTCCATTTCTTATTTGCACTTTGATATTTATGCTACCTAAATTTTTATCTTTCTAGCTTTAGTGTATTATTCCATAGGGTTGAGATATAACTTTGAATCCTAATTCTGTCAACCCCTGAATTAGATATCCTCCTCGGGTCTTTCACATTAGACATACAAATAAAACTTCCAAGAGTACTTTGTTTCAGATGACAATACACCAAAAATTGACATCATAAAAAAATTATCATGATATACCATATATTTTTATTTAAATACATTTAAAATGTCTTAAAGGATGTATACAGATACCAATGATTATTTCTTAGGAGGCATAAAGATATAGAGAATGAGTAAATTGCACGATGTTGGCATGGGGGTGTTGGACAAGAGATTTAGCCATATCTGTAATGTTTTAATTTTTTATAAGAAAACATTGTCAGGTATTATTTATGTAATAAAAAGTAATTTTATAAAAATAAATATACTATGATGACTTTCCCTTGCTCCTATCCATCAAGCTTCAATACTTTTCTTTCAAAAGAAACCAAATTAGTGCAAAAAAAATAATAACTCATAAGAGTGGACACTGATTTTAAGAATAGTCTTCTTTCAGTATGTGTTAGTGAGTTCATATTCTTAATATGCCCTAGAATTATAATTAAAGTGTTATATTAGAGTCCTAGGCATTTGGTTCAGTGGATAGAGTGTCGATCTGTGGACCTATGGGTCCCCTAAGGATACCTCGGTTGCAGGCTCCTCCCAGGCCCGGGCCCTGGTCAGGGCTCGTGCAGGAGGCAACCAATTGATGTGTTTCTCTCACATCAATATTTCTATCTGTCTTTCCCTCTCTCTTCCACTCTCTCTAAAAATCGATGGGAAAATATCCTTGGGTGAAGATTTAAAAAATAAAAATAAAGTACTACATTAGCAACACACACAAAATAAAAGCAAACCAAACTTTCTCTGTTCTTTGAATCAAATAGTCTTGGGAAAAACATCTTAGTGTTGAAAATTACTAGCCTGTCACCTTGCCTTTCTGAAACTCAGCCTTCTCATCTATAAAATGGAATAATAATGACTAACATAAGTACTATGTTATGATTTATTGTTTCCTTTTCTAGTCCTACATGACAATTTGGAATAGATTGATAATGCTTGAGATTATATGTAGAAATTAAAAAACAACAACAGGTAATTTCATTCCACTAAGTGGAGCTAACAATATAAGACCATAGAGTGAGAGTGTATGATAGACACAGCTGTAACATCTGAGTTCAGAGGAGAGAAAATCAAGTGGGCTGGAGTGATAAGGAATGTTTGGGGTAAAATCCGAGAACTGAGTGCATGGAGAAAAGGGAGGGCAACTCAACGGTGTAGTGGTTTGAATGTGCAGTGTCTGAGATTCAGCAGTTAGACCTGTCAGGCTGGAAAATAAGGTTGGCAAAAGGAAGTAAAGTTGAAAAACAAATCTAAAATCTACTTTTAATTAATGTGGAAAGCAAAGTGTTCCTGGTCTTGATTTAAAATACAATACACTTTTAGGCAGGTTGAGACATAATAGGCTGTGTTCACACAGTAGCTAAGCAAACATATTAACAGTTAAGAAAATCAATCATTTATAGAGTGGTACCAAATATAAAGTAATTGGTTTGACTTCTTTTTTCCCTTTCCCCCCCTTTCAGAACATGCTGAATTTACTGATGGTTTGGGCATTGTGTAACCCATAGTTC